ATTTCGAACTCCTGACCTCGAGCAATCCACCTGCCTTAGCCTCCCAGAGTGCTAGGATTACAGGCTGAGCCACCACACCCGGCCTCGAGAGAGATGTTGAACCAGAGGCTAAACAAGGTCAGAAAAAGGGGAGGAGGTTCATTGATATTTCACAGGCTAAAAATTGTCAGGGGACTCTAAATGCTACAGCAGCTATTTTCAATGATCATATAAATCATATATCAATAATCATTGATAATATTATTTTAAAATAGTATATTTTTTAAAATGGTCCATTACAAGGCCCATGTTGTTAGGATGATGCAAGGAGAAAACAAACCCTAAAATGGCTGTGATAGCCAATTTGGTCAAAATAGGGTCTGTATACACAAGAAACACTTTGTTTTGTTTTTTTATCTCATAAGCTCTTTGTATTCACAAGTACTTTTGCCAGCCACTAAAGCAAATAATTTCTGTTAAAACCTTTTTTCCCAAGATAGTATATGATTGCTTATCCTTTACTATGCTTATGGATTTTACCCTGTCTCCCAAATTACTACAATTAAACAATTACTTTAACCAGCAATTATATCAAGCCTGCCAACAATATGGTTTATTTCATCACCAAAATCTCTTCTAGTGATTTCACCAGTTCAGCCACATCAGGGACACTTGAAAATTTTTCTGCAAAAATTTGCCTGCCCTCAGATAAATATGAGATTTGTGCAAATGGACCAAGGGATTGAAAATGATAAGAAAAAAAACTTTTAAAAAGAAAAAAGAAAAGAAAGATAAATATGAGATTTGAATGAACGAATCTGAAGTCAGTGCTGAATAAATGTGGAATGGTTGGCAGACATCTTATATTTAATGCTATGCTCTTTACAATATGGAACATCTGAGTGAAAGTAACAATTTCAGACAATCATCCAGCTTTTTATAAATGCAAGGAGACTTGGCATCAATCGGAAAAGGTATCCAAACCACAGATGTAATTTTGTGCCCTTCACCTGGAAATCTTAGAACTACACAGACACAGTCTGTCAACAGATTTGTGCTGGTGTTGTTGAAGCCACTTTCAAGTTTTGATTGCCTCAATTTTCCCCTGTCAAAGATTATTTGCTAAGATCTACTAGCAAACCAGTAATTTCCTTTGAGTAAATTTCCCTTTTTCCCATATAGATATAGAGGCCAAAGAATGAGTTATTTTCCCCATCAGGTAGATCCATAAAACTTCAATGTTTGGGCCACTGTAACCTTTGTTGTTTGCTTGAGGCCAAATTATTCTCTGCTGGAATAGATGCAATTGTAAGTTTTGGTGGCTTGGTAGGCCCAAAAATTATACTTGGGTTGGATAGAAGACAAAAGAAATTATTTTATTTTAATGGTGGCACTCCTCAAAGGAGACTTTAAAGCTTTATTTTTCTTTTATTTTTCCCTATAATTCTGCTATTCAACATTTTCTGGAAGTTGAAATGTTTGTTAATTTAATCAGGAAGAAACAAGGTAGTTTAGTGAGAATGGAGATAGCTAAATTTTGATAAAACCTGGAGATCACACAAAAGAATGTTTACAAAATATGCAACTTAAAAATTATCCTTAATGGTGGCTCACGCCTGTAATCCTAGCACTCTGGGAGGCTGAGGTGGGCGGATTGCTTGAGGTCAGGAGTTCGAGACCAGACTGAGCAAGAGTGAAACCCTGTCTCTACTAAAAAATAGAAAGAAATTATCTGTACAACTAAAAATATATATAAAAAATTAGCCGGGCATGGTGGCGCATGCCTGTAGTCCCAGCTACTTGGGAGGCTGAGGCAGAAGAATTGCTTGAGCCCAGGAGTTTGAGGTTGCTGTGAGCTAGGCTGATGCCACAGCGCTCTAGCCAGGCAACAGAGTGAGATTCTGTCTCAAAAAAGAAAAAAAAAATTATCCTTGAAAAATTGTTTAAAGAATGGGTGCTTAATGTGAGTGGCATACTAGCAAGGATATATAATAGAGAGAGAAATGTTGTTTTCTATTTATGCTCTATTGTAATTACCTATTTACTTACCTGGCTTCCCCATTATCCTAAGGAGAAAGATATATTTAGTGATTTCCAAACTTGGCTGCACATTAGAATTACCTAGGAAGCATTTTAAAAATACAATAGCTAATTTAATTGGCCTAGAGAATAAAGCCCAGGCTTCATCCTCTAATATTATTTAAAAACTACCATGTGAATCTAATACACAGCTTGGGTTGAGAAAAAGTGGTATAGGGTACTTCAGTTACAAGCACAAGTTCTGACATGTAAGTGCTAGCTAAATATTTTGTGAATACTTGAATGAAATCATTAGTGTTTCCTTTATGAAATAAATATGAAACATATGGTTCAGATTTTTACAGTCACAGGTATGCTTTTTTTAAATGAAGAATGTACAAAGAAAATTCACATCCTGTGGATGAACAACATGCATTCTTGTGCTGCATTTTGGTTAGTTTTTCACTAGTGGTTTCTCTAGCAAGTCAGTGAGCTTTCATGCAATGTGTCCACAACTATGGATCTTAATCTTTAATCAATAGTAAATTAATGATGGAGAAGAAAAATGTGTTAGCCTATAATTGTGTTAAAGCAAAAGTATGTATAATAGTTATGGAATGTTCAGGGATTAATTGCAAATGGCCTCATTTATGCACTTTACTTTTGAAGTGGAGGCCATTACTGGACATATTTCATTATGAGGATCAAAGGAGAGAGTTGTTTTCCATGAATTATCTTCTGTCTTGAAAAACTCTCCACTGAATCCATGTCTACTTTAAAGTTCCAATTAAAGAATTTTACTTTAAATAAGGGTTGATTGGGGATTGAAAACAAATTTTATTTCCTGTATATAATAATACAACCATAATATTTATAATGTTTCTGTATTCTTTAGAAAAGGCCTTGATAGATGAAGCACAGGAAAAGAATTCTGCAAATTGGTGCTATATGCTAAATATTTTCTGATAAATTTGAATTTTATAATTGATTTTTATATTATTCTCTTACTTTCATAGCCAGAAATGATATATGTACAGGTACTGTAACTGCCAACTTCTATTGTAGAAGAGCCCACTGCATTCAATTGGCATCTAATTAATGCTTGTTTAATTTATGAAATAAATGAGTGACAGAAAACTGTCCAAAGATTAGCATGGTGGAAAGACTCACAGAGCCCTCAAAATCAACACGTAAGAAAAAGATTTAAGGGTACAATGGATGCTGATCCCCAAATGGGATTATGGATCAAAATTATCTGAGAAGCTTTTTATTTTTATTTATTTATTTTTTTGAAACAAAGTCTCACTCTGTTGCCTGGGCTAGAGTGCCATGGCATCAGCATAGCTCACAGCAACCTCAAACTCTTGGGTTCAAGCAATCCTCCTGCCTCAGCCTCCTGAGTAGCTGGGACTACAGGTGCGTGTCACAACACTTGACTGTTTTTTTTAAAATTTTTAATAGAAACAGGGTCTCACTGTTGCTCAGCTGGTCTTGAACTCCTGACCTCACATGATCCTCCCACCCTGGTCTCCCAGAGTGCTAGGATTACAGGCATTAGCCACGGTGCCCAGCCTATGGGAGCCTTTTTACAAAACATCATGTATTATGCATAAATCCAGATTTCCTGAAACATAATCTTGGAGGTGGTTGTAGAGGAAAAAATGGTGGCAAAGAATCCTAGGAAGCATATTTTAAGTAAGTCCTCCCTTTTTTCCCCAGATGATCTTTATGCAATCAATCAGTTGGGCAAAAATCTGTGGCCTGGCATTTGGGGACCACTGGTATAATGGAATGCACACAGGACAAGGAGGTGAGGAATTTGGGTTCTAATCATAGCTCTGTTACTAATTTATTTGGGACAATTTACTTAAATTTGACAGATTTCAGTCTCTTTCATGAGAGGCTTCATTTCTAGATAATTTCTCCCATGATCTGAAAGGTCCATTGACACCTAATATATTATCTGTTAGTATTATCTTTCATGAATTCCTAAAGCTAACCTCTAATGGACTAGTAAACATACAATAAAATGATTAACTTAAAGAGAAGATTCAGCTGTGCATATATTCCACAAGCAAAAATTCCTAGCTCAGGGCGGAACTGTGTACTATACCAAGAGTCTTGTGCGTGTGTATACAAGTGTTTACACATGTCCACCATCTGGATTATACCATTAACAGCCAACAAATTAGAAAACTCCATGGCTGCACATTGGTTATTGCCCTTTCAAAAGTATATTACCTCCAAAAGTTATCCTTCCCTAAACATCAATACAGGAGATGTGTAAAAACACAACTTATTATTTTCCCTGTCTTATCAAGCACCATGTTGATATTGCAAGAGTTCCTCATAATCAGAGAACAGAAGTATCTGTCAACAAAATCTAATAATTTCCTGATCATCAACTTTAGTCACTGCATATATGCTATGCATATGCTTAATAGCTAAATGCCTACATTTAATGGTACTTAACCATGGTGTCTGGCACAGAAGAGAAGCTCAAGAAATATTTGTTGAATTAATAAAAGAAGCAAGATAAGAAGGAAAGGATGAGTAAGCAATAGACAGAAAGAGAATGTTTGGCTTATTTTAATGAGTAATGACGTTTTCCATCATTGGGTGCCACACAATCCATTTCCATTAGCTATGAATCTTCATAGGAAGAATGTCGGGGCATGTGGACTTCCCTTGGATATAAATAAACAAGACATTTAGCAGCAGGACTTTCAGAATTGATTCTAGAAGGAATAGCTCACCTTTTTTCAAGCAGAGGCCTTCATTGGCCAGTTTTCCCTCCTCGTTGACATATATTTTCATCCAGCTATGAAGGTATTTTCTGCCCTTCTTGACCACTGCCCTGGAGCCTTGTTTCTTGAGAAAGAGGGAAGTATTTTCCACCTCAAGGAACCCTTCCGGTTCATAGCAGGTCCATCCGGGTGCCTGGGCGCAGCAGTCCAAGATGGCTGAGCGGGAAGGGGCACCAGAGGAATTGGAGACGGACAGGCACAGTGCAGATTTCACGTGAAAGAGCTTTCCATCCTCAGTCCACATCCACTGCTGGTTCTGGATGGTCCTATTGCACGAGCCCACGCCCACTTTCCCATTTGTGAGAAGACACTGTTGTTTCTGGACATGGATAATCTGAAACCCCTCTGGAAGATGAAGAGTGTATAAAGTACTGGGTAGCACATTATACGGCCCATTAGAAAACAAAACAGCCCACCCACGAATGGGCTACGTAAAATTACTATTTTACTTATATTTTGCTGTTGCTATCATTTCAAGTGAATATTCTTAGATTTAACACATGTGATTTAAAATCCCAAGGCTGACAATGTAAAATGTCAAAATGTCACACAGCTTCCCCCACCCTTTTTTTTTTTTTTTTTTGCTTTCATATGGGTTAGGGAAGAAAACACGCCCCTCATTGGAAAATGAAAGGAAGCTTGTAAAAGAAACAAAACTATTCAAATATTATGGTGTAGTATTTTAGCCAAATTAGTCAAATATATTGAAGGTATGAAAAGCTCAGTTGTCTATTTAACCATTTGCCTCTTTCCATATCACCTTCCTCCCCAACTCTACAAAAGCACCCCTTTTCCATTCTTTCAATTCACACCACAGTAAGTATTTGTATACAAATTGCATAGTTCGAACGAAAATTTTTAAAAATTGCCTATATTTCAGTTTCTATGAAAAACTGAAACAAATTTTCCCAACCCTCCAAGCACGACCCCCTGGCTAACAGTAACCAATGAAAATGTTGATTAACACAAAATAAATTTCTTCTAGTCCTGGAGAGAAGCATTTCTCTGTTTTATGACAATATCTACAGTTTTCTCTCAAATACTAATAGATTAAAAGCTCAGCATTTCTCAATTTAAGAAAATTAAATATCCAATTGTTAAACATCAGTATTAAAAAGTAAAACATTTAGGCTCAGAAACCATTTTCAATGAGCTTTTACTTAAATTGCACAGCTCGCCCACGAAAATATTCAGTCCTTCCAAATAAAACATACCACGTTCCCTTACCCCCTTAAATCATATTTCTTATACTTTCTTTCTTTAACACGACAGAAAATAAAAACTATAACCTGTTTGGGAACAGTATGGGGAATACTACATACTCTTATATAATAATAAAAAATTCCTCCCCAGAGTTCTTTACTCTCTGCTATAAATATGCCATTTCAGGAGCTGCCCGAAGCATTTGGAGGACCTCAGGAAAGAAATTATTTTCTTTTGGAAAGAAATCTCAGCAGTGTGGGCACAGCTGGCTCCTTTTATTCTTCTCCTCATCGTCTTTGGCTAAACTGCCATGGAGACCTGGCTTCCCTTCTACCTTATTTCAGACACTTTTCGAAGGCCCGAGACTCCTCGGTCAGATATGAGAGAAATGCCTCTGGAAACTAAGGCAGACCCACTCACCTGAGCTCCCGAAGATCAAGCAGGTAAGAATCACCATGTAAAATTCAGCCTCCATTTTCCACTTAACAACTGCTCATGCTTCGCTTGGGGGTAAAAAAAAAAAAAAATTCTTCCAGATAAGAGAAGCAGAGACTAGGAAGGAAATGTGCCTTCATGGTGGGGGGAAAAGTCAGTGACGAGCATTTCCTCCTATTGAATTGTTTGGGGAAGTTTTACACCAGTGTCCTTTTGTCTGTTTCCTTAGAAAGAAGGGATTATGATTACCTCTCTCTCTTTTTTTTATGCAGAAAAAATTCCAGCCTCCAGGAGCAGAATAAATTCCCTTAAGTCTTCACCTACCTTCCCTTTGGCACATGACTACTTCTTAACCTCAAGAGGGAAGAAAAGAATTGTAATCTTAGATAATTGAATGTTCCTAAAACATTACATCTCTTCAGGTGATGTGATTCTGCTGAATAAACATAAACCATGTAATTCATGAGGGTCTAGGACAAGTGATATAAAGATGTAAACATGTACCGTTTGTATAATGATATGCTGGGAGTCTATCGAGGAAAACCACATAATGATGGCAATTCTAGATTATTATCTCTCAAGTGATGACAATATTACATTTTGAGATCGTCATCTCCACTGTGGAGATGCAGAGACTAAAATTAAACCCATCACGTTATCAACTTCAGGCTTCCCCAAACAGTTATGGCTTCTCTCCAAGTAGGAGAAAAAAGAATCTCCTTTACTCAATATTCAGTATTAAGAGTAGTTTATTGGCAGTATGAAACAAAGTCAACATTGCTGCATTAAAAATTCCTATTTGAGTAGAACATCTCGTGTTTTCTGAGGGTAGTTATTTTAACTTTATTTGTCACTTGAGGATTAAAACTTTTCAGAAATGTAAGGACAGACATGGCGGCATCTTTATAAAGAACCTCTGGAAATGGGACAGGTTACATCATTCCCAAAGGCATCTGCCTTTTATTGGGAGAGAAATTCCAGGTACACAGCATATTCAAAAATCTCTTCTCAGTAAAAGAGAGACAAATATTTAAAATTCTTGACACTTCATAGTTGCTACAAATTTGTTTTGCCTTTTTAGAGTAAAACAACTCACAATGTAGAAATACAGTGGATGGAGTTCTGGAGCAGAAGTCACTTTTATGCCTAATAATAGAGAGTAAATACATATATACCCAATGACAATCATTGTGCTCTGTAATTGATTGATAGGAGGTGCTATAAATACACATTTAATAGGTAATATTATCAAGACACATTTCCATATAAAATAGTTACTGCTTTTAATTTTTTTTAAAAAAACAAAGACTTATTTGTTAAAAATCCATTATCAATCACTTAGCAGCAAGATTCTGGTAACTGAGAAAGGTAATAGCACTTAAAACAGGAACAGTTAAACAGCTGACAGTCCATTCACAAGACATATTTTGCAAACATTAAAGCATCTAAACACACAATAAGAATGTCTTCAGCAGCTCCTCCAGTCACCATCTGATGACATTTATCACTGAATATTACATACATACATTCTGTGTGGCAGATAGTCAGTACAGACAAAACGAAATCCACCTTAGGCTATGTGAGAAATCTATCATACCTCCATCAGCATAGGACCTTCAAAATAGTTTGAGGGATGCTTACAAATGCATTCATATACACAAGGGGCTGGCAATCTTAAACATGTTGCCAAGTCTTCCACAATCCATGCCACAGGTTGGCTTCAGAGCTTCTCTTTCCTTCCACTGCAGGAAGCTCCTTCTTGAAGCCTCAAGTGGGTAATTTGATTAATCACCCCAAGAGATTGATGGTCTGGTCAGTCTTCAGTGACTCACTGCACAGTTTCTGCTGAAAGTCTGCTCTCATACAGGCACAGAGCATGATGCACGAATTCATACTGTTCACTGGTTTGGACCATTCCACCTCTGCAAAGAAGAAATCACAAAATAACTTCTTTTTGCCAACATCTTGCAATCTCAAGCAGCACAGAGACTACATCCAAGCTAGGGTGTTATGCCAAAGACACATGGAACAGTTGACCAATGATTCTTTTGTTAGCCCTCTTACCTGGGTCCAAATGTCCCAACTGGCAAAGTTAATATGTTAATGTATATAAAAGAATTAACATAGTGCCTGATACACACTAGACATTTGATTAATTTTACCTATGTACTGTTACTAGGAAGGTGGTACAACTTAATGGTTAAATACTAGGACTTTGGAAACAGCCAGGCTGAGTTCCGGTTCCTCCTTTGCCAATCCATAGCTGTCATAGCTGTGTGATCTGAGACATGTTCCTTAAAACTCTTTGCGCCTTGGTTTCCTCCTCTGTCACAGCAGAATAGTAACAGTAACAACTTCGTAAGGTTGTTGTGAAAGTGAAATGAAATGTTACTTATCAGTATCCATATCATTTATCTTATGTTAAAATGCTTTATACATTTGGATTAAGATGGATTGAAATAGGCTCACCAAACAAAACTCTCCTGTGAAATATTGCTTTCTACAAGAAAAAGAAAGTCAACCCTGGAATGATTTATTTGAGTAGGTTACATGGAAACATTAGCCTTTGGGTATACTGGGTATTTAAACACAATAGTGGGTAGGTACGTAAATGAATTGGAAAAAGGTAATTGGCTCTTGTTTTTTTCTTCTTGGTTATCACTATTTTCATCACTAGCTGCTCAGCATCCCCTTTGTCATTGGATTAGTAGAAGGAAGTAGCCTTCATGAGAAATAAGAATGCTTCTCATTATATATATTATTATTATATAATAATAATATATTATTAATATATATATTATATATAATATATATATTATTGTAATAATATATATATAATATATATATTCTGTTGGCCAGTCTGGAATGCAGTGGCACTATCATAGTTCACTGTAGCCTTGAACTCCTGGGCTCAAGTGATCCTCCCACCTTAGCTCCTTGAGTAGCTGGAACTATAGGCATACACTACCATGCTCTGCTAATTTTTCTTATTTTTTGTAGAGACAAGATCTCACTATGTTGCCCAAGCTGGTCATAAACTTCTGACCTCAAGCAGTGCTCCCACCTTGACCTCACATGGTGCTGGGATGGCAGATATGAGCCACCATGCACAGCCATATATTTTTATACATACTATATCTACATTACATTTTGCTGCCATATAATTATGTCTCTTTGACTTGACAAAGTTCCCAGACATTAATATAAATGTTACTTATATTTCTTATTCACTGAAGAACAGCATCACTCTAATTATTTAAAGTCCTATAAAGTCTCTGAAACTCTGTAATCATACAACTAACTTTATGTTTTAGTTTAGTTCTGTGTTTTAGCCAGTGTTTCCTGGTGGATGTTAGTACCACTCAAAATAATTTTCAGATTATTCTAGGCACTTCAACTTAAAAGCAAGATATATTGTCTCACTGTAACATGACTTTGGGCTAATGGTAATAACTAAACTGGGCTTGCATCTACGTTTACTTGTCAACCTATATAAATAGCAAAGCAGTAAGATTTCCTCCTTCAAAAGTAACAGTAATTCTTCAGGCAGGTCAACATGATGCCAAAATGATGTATTATATTTGGAAAGAAATAAAGAGGTAAATTTAGTTTTCAGTGACAGCAACTTATTAGCAGAAATAGTTCAACAGTCTTTTCCCCTAGAACTGTATACTCTGTTGTCTTGAAGGAACCTTCTGGCCAAAGTGTTTCTTGTTCAGAAGTGGACAACAGGAATGGCGGGCTGAGGATGTGGTAACTCTTCCTCTTCTTAGCTGTATGATGACATCTGGGCACACCTAAAACATAGCAGGTGTCCGGAAGATGCCGGCTTGGCCTGTGAAACTTGGGAGACGCAGCCACGGTAAATATTAGGGCAGCTCCAGGGAGCTGAGCGGTGCCTCCCTTCCTCTGGCATTTCCACAGTGCAGGCAACCATCACTCCCCCCTTACTGCAGGCGGCATGTGGAACTTTGTATGTGCTCCGCCTCTCACACTCTGGTCAGTCAACTTCCTCTCACCATTTACCTCATTTTGAGGCAAGAATTTTCCCTTCTGGTATGTTCTGGTCAGCACTGGTATTTATGCATTTGAGTGGTGAATGAATGGAGACACAGTTTAGGTCTTAATAACCATTTTACCCTAAGTAGGTCAGCAGAGTATTTTAATGGTTGAAGTATATCTACTATGACATTTCAGTTTAACTAACAAGGTTGCTTCAACCGGTGACAGTGGGGAAAGATGGGGAAACAGACCCATTAGTTGTAGGCTAGCAAAATTCTTCCAGGTCTTAAGTCTTTAGGAAGATATATGAAAAGTTCTCTTACTTTCCACTTAATTGGAAAATAAAAATGAAAAACTTGGCATCAGAGGGATTCTCAGAGATCATCCATTCCAATCGCTGACAAAATATAGCTTTCCTAGAAGGAAGCAGTCTGTGACAGGTAGCCAGCTGGCTTCTGTTGGAATGCTCACAGGATGGGATACCTTTAGAGGGAGATTTTCCCAAGGTTTGCAGGAAAACTTTTGAAGACATCAAAACGAATCTGCCCCTCTCTAACTTTTACCTTATTGGTCAAACATAAATAGCCCAAAGAAGTCTTAAGGCTCCCCTGTAGTCACACAATAGCCCTATAAATTCTGGAAAACAACCATCAAAGTCCCATAATCTTTTCTTCTCTAGACTAAACATCCTGTGGTCACTCAATATTTCTGTATAGCCTGGTTTCCCTGTCACTTACCAATCTAGTCCCCCTAGGCTATTTTATCAAATGTGACCTACTTAGAGTGTTGTGTCTACTGCCGATGAGATCTGGTCAGTGGGCATATTTTCTCCCTTGAGCTGCACATTGTAGACCAATAAGTTTGCATCATGTGGTAAGATCCCATGGTAGCTACATGGTGCCTGGGGCTCAGCAAGAAGTTTAGGATATTGAGTGAAGTTTTAGGTTAATTAAAAAGTCAGCAGGATCTTTCTTTCTCTTCCTTCCTTTCTCCCTTTCTCCTTCCTTCCTTCCTCCCTTCCTCCTTCCTTCCCTTCCTCTCTCTTCTTTCCTTCCTTCCTTCTCTCTCTCTCTCTCTTTCTCTCTCTCTCTCTCTTTCTTTCTTTCTTTCTTTCTTTCTTTCTTTCTTTCTTTCTTTCTTTCTTTCTTTCTTTCTTTCTTTCTTTCTTTCTTTCTTTCTTTCTTTCTTTCTTTCTTTCTTTTTCTTTTCTTTTTATTCAGAGACAGGGTCTTGCTCTGTTGCCCAAGCTGAAGTCCAGTGGCATTATCATAGCTCACTGCAAACTCAAACTCCTGGGCTTAAGTGATCTTCCAGCCTCAGTCTCTTAAGTAGCTATGACTATAGGCCTGCATCACCACAGTCAGCTAATTTTTAAATTTTTTTGTAGAGACGAGGTCTTGCTATGTTGCCAAGGCTGGTCACAAATTCCTGGACTCCAGGGATCCTCCCACCTTGGCCTCCCGAAGTGCTAGGATTACAGGTGTGAGCCATCACACCTGGCCTCAGCAGGATTTTTTGAAAGTGAAAATGATAGCTTTCAACCATCTGTACTTACACTATTGAATTTTTGAAACTAAATGCAGGGATTTCTATTTATTTCTGTTAATTTCAACTTGGTAGTTTCAGCACAATGTTCTTGTTTACTGAATCACTATCTATCATCCAAGATATTAGTCTTCCATTTCTCACTCCCAGCACTCTCACTCTCACTCCCAATGTCTTCTAGTTATTTAACATTTTTAAAATCTAAGTCATTTATAAAAAATAGAAAAAGAGCCGGGGTAGGGTCTTTATCAGAAATAATTTGTTATCATGTTATACACTGTCTAATACCATTCTAAAATTGTTTTTCTCTAGTTGTAGGTCCTTTATTTATTTACTATTTTTGAGACAGAGTCTCGCTCTGTTGCCTGGGCTAGAGTGCTTGTCGTCAGCCTAGCTCACAGCAATCTCAAACTCCTGAGCTCAAGTGATCCACTGAGCTCAAGTGATCCACCTGCCTCCCGAGTAGCTGGGACTACAGGCATGTGCCACCATATCCGGCTAATTTTATATATATATTACTTTTAGTTGTCCAGCTAATTTCTATTTTTTTTTTAGTAAAGATGGGGTCTTGCTCTTGCTCAGGCTGGTATCAAACTCCTGAGCTCAAACGATCTGCCCACCTCGGCCTCCCAGAGTGCTAGGATTATAGGCATGAGCCACTGAGCCCAGCCTGTAGGTCCTCTATTAAAGGCAAGCATAATGTCATAGTCTTCTCATAGTTGCAACAGTGAAAAGCACTTACTAATCCTAGGTAAATACCTGTCAAGTAAGTTACCCAAGCTGTGCTATTTGCATGACATGGGAAAACAGATAAACTCTGGGCTAGAAGAAAGAAAAGAATATCCCAGGATGCATTCACTGGAGGCTGGTTCGAATACAGGAATTCATCACAATCATCTTTGAAAAATATTTGATAAATGTTCTATTGCATATATTGGTATATAGAGTACTCTGTTGACCTTTGTAAGAACTTAAAACCTAGGATTACCCTTTAGATTTTACTGTTATGGAGCAGATACAGTCTTTTTATAATCTGGCTATAGTAAAAAATACCTAAGAAGCTAGTAGAGTGCCTGTATACAAAATATATTTATGGAATAAATGTATTCTTTTTTTCCATAAGCTAGATTCATTGTGGAACCCTCAAGAGAGCTCTGTAGTAATTCACCCTCCAGGGGAGTTCTGATTTGGTCCCCAGGCACCTCTTAGGTCAGATAGAGCTCCATGGATTTGCTGAAATATGGATCTGTATTACTGATGTAAACTCCTAATGCAAGCTGGTTCTGGAAAATAAGAAACAGGGTGCTCTTTTTTTTTTTTTTTTTACTTTAAAAGGCATCATCTAACTTTCATTCAAAGAGCTGGCACTAAAATA